TTTTTGTCTGAAAAGTCCCAAACACCAAGCGCAGTTTTGGCTGGATTAATTTACATTCATCTATTTCAGTCAGAGAGGAGTACCTAAAAATCATTTGTTCAAGACGGTGCTTCTTTCTAGCACAATCACTATCAGAATTAACACAATAGTGTGGTTTTGTGCTCAGCAATCTAGCAGAACAAAAACGCAAAGACCCTTCTGGTGGTTTTATTGTTCTAGGTTCCTAGTACAAGAAACAATATAGAATTCCGCATTTTGATAAAGAAATTATTTTTCAATATCTTAGCTCAGTAGATGTATCCTATTGTTATTTACTGGTATGCATAGCACAGAAATATGTTAAACTGTCTTACCAGCTCAAAGGAAACTTCACTTTTCGCACTGCTTCTGTCCCTTGATAGTTTAGGCTGTGTGGTTTGATGATCACGCAGTAGCAGCAGCATAATAAAGCAGAGCTTACTGTGCCTGATTTTAAAGATAATCTCAAGAACCAATGAAAAACTGCTCAGATTATCAGATTGAGTTAAGGTAGATGCATCTGCAATTACTCATTAGTGATGGAGAAACTGAGGAATTTCTGTTAAAGGGTTAACATTTAAAAGGCCAAGTAATTTGCTGAATATAAAATTGCCTTCTTGCAACATTTATATAAAGGCAGCCAACAGAAGAGTTCTCTAAGTGACCTAAAGCCATTTCCTAGCCTTGTCTGAATGTGAGGTGAGACGGCTTCCATCCAAGGCCTCAGCCCAACTGTGCTCAGACACCCAAGGCATCCCTGAGCTGCCTTGTCCTGTACTTCCTCCACAACCTATTGCTGCACTGTGCTCAAAGGGGCAACTCTGGAAGCAAAAGCAAACAAACATGTCCAGATCCTAGAGTGTATGAGGAACAGATCTTTCCTTACCCAGCTGCAATGCTGCAGCGCTAGCGTTACAGTCAGGATCCATCAAGTCAGTCATGTACATGGGTCCAGTGCCAGAGAAGGGGAAGAGAGAAACAGGCAAAGCACAGACTGAATAACAGTCTGCCAGTATTAGCTTCAGGGGCCAAGAGACAGGAAGACGGGCCATGCAGAAATGGAGACAGACGTTTCCAAATTGGTACTACAGATTGAGTTATGGTGCTTCTCCCAAAACCTGCTTTTGGGCCTTCCCCATCCAGTAAGACTCCTGCCAACTCCCAGGAGGCCCCGTGGTCACCCACCTAAATGTACATTTACACTTTTTATAGCTACAACAGTCCTGAACAGCAGCAGAAACAGAAAGCCCCTAAAATGCAAGCAGCTTTCTGAGCATCATTTAAGCAAATAACACCTGCTTCCTCAGAACTGTCCAGATGCCTGTAGTTACCTGCTGCAAGCAGAAAACATCTTGTCTCCTGTAGAGACAAATTGTATCCCTGCATCTTCCCACTCTACTGCCACAGGTCACCATAAAGATGCCACAGCTGAGACCCACAGCTTTTACTGTATTCTGCCTACATGGCAAACAGAAAAATCAGTACAACAGTTCAGCAGCAGTTTGGCTTAAATGGCAAAGCACAAACTTCTTTTCCCAGTTTCCTTTCATATTACTATTCCAAAATACAGAGCAGTATTTCTGACAATAACATCACAGCTGTCTGCTAGTTGCCTTTTTTCAGACTTCTCCTGTACCCCAAGTGCCATGCAGCCAAAAGACCATTAACCTAACTCCTACTCTCCAAAGGCCACTCAGACCCTTCTTTCATGTTTTCTAGGACCCATTTACACCTGTCCTACAATTAGCTTCCATCAGGTGAACAGATTCTCTCACCAGGTGATTTGTTTTAAATTGCATCTATCTTGAAGGTTTTTTTGGGGTTTAGTTTTTTCAGGGTTTTTTTTTGTTTTGTTTTTTTTTGTTCAAAGTGCTCCATTTGGATAGACATCCACCGTTTATCTACTGTCAACCCAGTACCAAATGCATATCTTTTGCTATCTCCTCTGGTTTCGGATCACTATAGAGGCAAACATAGTAAACAGGAGAAGCATCACATTACGGTGGAAGCTACTGGGACATGCAGCACTTGCTCTGTCTGTGCTGCATACCTTGGCTTGTACAATAATGCAGATTTTGGAGCCTGAGATAGCCTCAGCCAGACTCATATAGACTGGGATTTCTGTGTCTACCTGCTTCTATGCTTGGCTAGTGAACACACTGTTAGTCTATCAGAGTAGATGGTCGGTACTATAGTCCAGGACCACTTCTGTATCCCAATCATGCTGTCACTCAAGAATCTGTGAGATTTGACCTCCCTCCCTTCCTCTCCTTTCCTCTGCTTATCAAGTCCCCCAGTAAAAGGACACTGTTCTGGTCAGTGCAACATCTTAAGTCCACTATCATGTCCCTGATTGTTGCGAACATTGTGCAAAGTGCAGCAGACCACAGCCATCTAAGGGCTTTGTCTACATGGGTGGTGTTGCTGGCATCTTCTTACTAGCTCATCACATGGCTCAGCGCATGACTAACCTCACCTTTAGCAAGGTAGGCTGAAGTTAGATCACCTGGTTACCTGAGCATGACAGGAGTGGCTAAGCAGATTCCCCTGCAGTGAAGGGCTTAGGCAGCCTATTGCAAACTCTGTTCTTTTAAGCAGGCCTGCGTAGCCAAGCACTTAAACATCAAATACCTTTACCACACTATTATCATAACTCTTTCCTGTGCTTCACACTGCTGTTCAGGAATCTGCCACTGTGGGTTACTGAGGTCACGGAAGGGTGGAGTGATCCCTTTTAGAGACAGCTTGTTTGAGAGCAGAGGAGGCCTCCCAAAAATCAACAAAACACAGACTTGCAATGCTACCAATGGCCCTATCATTCCTGGGGAAACACAGTTTTTCCAAATTAGATATTGCTAGGTCAGGGACATTTGCAGTTTGCTGATAGGAGCCACAGAAAAAAAACCCACCTCAAACCCTTCCACATCCGCAGTGTCAACAACTCATTGGCCAAAAGCTTAATTGTTACAGTTTGCTTCAAGGGGAACAGTCTGCCTTATTTTAATATCCTTATGCCACATATCAAAGCAAGCTCTTCTCTGCTCATGAAGTCTACCTCCTAGGGTGACAAGAGGCAAATTCTAGCCCAACATAGCAGCAAACCATCACTTTCTACCAGATGTGCAGCTAGATAGTGTACCAATGACAGAAACAGCTCCTTCAGCAGTTCTGGAGCCAATGATACTAACAGAAACAAGGAGCGTGCAGAACCGAGATGTAAAAGCACCCTAGAAAGATAGTCAGATTTCCCCTCCTGCTTTAAGCAGCCTGGGGCCAGTTACCACAATGTAGTTTCTGAAGTGCAAAGGGCTGCAAGATGAAGCTGCAGAAGACCGTGTTACAGACCATCAGCGATGCTTCTGCCCAGTACACATTTGCATGGACATAAGCACCATGCAAGCAGACCTTGTAGGACAGTGCAGGGCAGGCTCAGCTCATCAACAAGGAAATGGAGTTGACCTGATCCTCTGCTGCCTCGTGGAGGGCATGCAGGTACTTGCAGCGCAGCAGGGAGGATGCATAAACACATTAAGACAATACCTCCCATGACTTATCACAGAAGATGACAAGAAAAATGGAAAATAAGGAGGGAAGGAACCAAAAAAACTGATTTCTTGGAGCAGTGCCAGGAAGCCCCTGAGCTAGGGATATATTGAGGGAGTAATAACAACACGGGCAAAGCAAAGTAAGCCCTGTAGGTTCAAACTGAACTCTGCCGTGGCAGAGACCACGGCTGTTCTGAACAATCAAACCAGGGATGTGGATGCATAGAAAGCCTCTCCCAGCACTCACCTGTGAAAGAAACAGCTTCTCTTCATTACAGTGCTCTCTCTTGTTTAGGGAGCTATGGGGTTGGCTAAAGTCTTGGGTAAAAGATGGGGGAGACAGAAGAGAGTTTATTGGTATCACAGCAACAACAGATTATTACTGCACTAGAAACATACATCATTCAACACAAAGGTTCTTTTATTATAAGATCTTCTGGAGCCAAGCAGCCCATGGGTTAGTAGCACTGTGCCTACATAAGATGTGTCTTCACATTCAATGTCAGTATTACAGTAACTTTTTAAAGACAATTACCCTAAACAAAACAGAAATACAGATATGTCAGAGGGAAACATGTTCACAGTTACAGTGCAATAGCAGTTTCATAGTTGGCTTTATTAGCCAGCAGAAATTATGCAAACTTTGTGCTACTGACCTGTTAACTGCAGCAGACCAGATCAAAGACAGAAGATGGAGTTGCAGGCACATCCAGGTAGGACAACATTTCTGAAATTTCTGCATAGCTCTAAAAATCTGTTCAAGGTTTCAGTTAATGTGCTTGGAAAATGCTGGGAGAGATGCTGATTCAGTAGAAAGCCCTGGTAGCAAGAGTTTGTCTGGAAATTTATGTGTTTGAAGACTTTTCATTTGTAGACTCCACCTGGAAAGGTAAAGTCTTCCCGAAACCTGAGTTGTGTTTGATCTCTTGGACACACAGTTCTGTGATGATTAGGAGAGAACTGGTTTTGATCATACCCGATGGACAAGGCTAGGACCCTCCATAATTAACAAACTGTTACAGCTGGGTTTAAAGAACCAAAGATGTTAGGAAAAGTAACACCACCTGTGTTTGGAAAGGGTAGGGGAACTTTAATGTAACAAACATGCTTGCCATGGGTTATGCTTCTAAGATTACATTCTCAAGTCATGTGAGAATACCAGGGAAAAGAATTTAAAGTTTTATACTCTTTGTAAGGTTACTGTCCAAAAAATTTGCACATCTACATAAGCTAAAGGGTAATTTTCAAGGTACTGTTGCTTTTTCTGCCATTATAAGGGGGTTTGACCTAGGATTAAAAAAAAAAAAAAAAAAAAAACCAGTCACATCAAGTTTGAGACATTAACAGGATAAGTGGCAATAAAAGTAGACATACACTTCTATGGGCCTAACAGTTTTCTGTGTAAGCTCTATTGCATACAACTAAGTAAACTGTTTCTCTTCAGAATTTTGCTAACACTTTGCTCCTGGCACAGTACAAAAAAGGCCCTACACTCTGCAAAGCAACATCAAGTCCTTAGTTTGCCTGTGTCCCATTGACAGGGCCATCAGAGCGACAGGAGACCCACTGCTTGACATAGCTCCGTGGAAAGTCCTCCCCCATCTGCTCAAGAGGGATGGACCCACAGTTGGTCTGACTGTTCTGCTCAAATTCAGAGTCAACTGGACTCCCACAGTCCGAGTCCACAAAGCCACTATCAATAGTGTCCAAATCTACACAGATCATAGGGTAACTGTCACCAGGCCTTGTGATGTGAGGGAAGAAGTCACAGGAGCCTTCACTGTAGGAAACACTTTCACCATCAGGAGAAGGTAGAGAAGCTGCATTTTCCAAATCCCACTGATTAGGCTGCAAACAAAGGGCTTCTAGGATGCTCCCCATGCCTCCTTCCAAAGCCTTTTCTACTTGCTGGTGGGCTGGGACACTTGTACTCCTCAGGTGGTCTGTGGACACAGAGCCTGAAGCAAGTATTTTGTCCTGCGTGCTCAGGTCAGCCAGATGCAAGTCACTGGATATCTTTCTGTCTTCATCATCAACATTAACCTTGGGGTAACCAGTTTCTCTAGCACTACTGTCCTCCTCACTGGTATGCTCATGTCCCCTGTACACACGGTTACAGTTGTACTGGCAGTTACAAGGTGTAAATTCGTCAGCCACAGTCACAGTATCAATGGACAAATGCCCGTATGACCGATCCTGAGTCCCACTGCTGCCATTCGCACTAGACAGCGGGGACTGGCTATCCTGACCTGGGGCAGTCAGGCAAGACACACAGGGTTTGCAAGGCAGATCTTTTCTCAGCTCATGCAGCTCCTCCCGTGAAGTGCTGTTGGAAGGACGCATAGTGTAAACTTCTAGGACTTCTGGAAGGACCATTCCCCATTCAAAGAAATCGAAGGTCGTTTTCTTGTTGGATGCACCGACCCACTTCTGCATAAAAGGATGTACAGGGATTGAGAGAGAGAGACATGTTAGTATCATCAGGTTTGAAGTTCCTCAGAAATGACTAAAGTTCTTATGCTTTTAGAGGCAAGTCAAACTCTAAAATCACTGACTCCTCCAAAATAGCAGGGTATGAGATGCTATTATTACCAGACACAGGCAGCTGCAGGAGAACTGACTCAAGTAATTGAAAATAATTAGCTCTGAGAGGTTTGCTTGGCTTTGCAGTTTTCTCTGTGCTGCAAAGAATGCCACTGCCCATAGAATCATCACAGAATCATAGAATGCTTTGGGTTGGAA